TTGAATGAAGCTTGCAATGGTAATCTTTTGTGTTCCTAGAGGAAAGACTCAAGACCTCGAGCATGGATTTGGAAAATTTTACTCAATATCCAATTGACAAAAATTACCGTGCTGGATATAAGAATGATAATGCAAGAAAGAAACAAACAAGAATCTTCAATCTGAGTAGTACCTTGAGGTAGTCCATTTTTCACATAATCTTATGTTGACATGAATATTTTGTTTTCTAAATATTTGTGATATTTTTCCTATATAGTTCTTATTATTAATTTCTCCTATAATGTTGTAATTATTTAGTATCTCTACTATAAGGGTAATTTTCCTATTAGTACTTGGGAATTTTGTATATATATGAGTTGTCTGTTATACCAAGCATATTGAGGAAATAAAATAAATATTTTTTCCCAAAATTTTTATATAGTAATAGAGCAAAATAAGAGTATTGTAGGGTTTTTAAATTTTAGGGTTTCTTTCAAACCCTAAAATATTTTCAACACCCACCCAAACGGAGTCCCAACCTCACCGGCGACCTGCCGAACACATATTTATAGGCGGTTTTGCCGCCATACAAGACAAAACCAGCAGCCGACTATGATTATTTTATAATAATAAGAAATGCATTAATCTAACGTCTCTCCTTAATGCATTTTTTTATTACTCCAAGCCAAGCATATTTCTTAATATCTCGAACTTTGTTCTTGGTAATGCTTTGGTGAAGATATTTGCGAGCTCTTTCTCTGTCTTGCAATTTTTTGGCTCGATTTATCCTTTAGCAGTTACTTCTCATAGGAAGTTATATTTCATCATAATGTGTTTTGTTCAGCTGTGCTACACAGGATTTTTTTGTCATTGCGATTGCTGACTTGCTGTCACATAGAATTTCTGTAGCTTCCTTTTGTTGCTCGCCCATGTCCTCAAGTACTCTTCTGAGCCATATAGCGCTATTCCAGTGATCATCTTCGACATACTCGATCCATCTGCTCCGATCGCACCAGACTGTTCACATTGTGTCCTCGCGCACGACTTCTGGTTTCTTCTGCTCCCCGCTTTGGTTCGCACAACGTGACCCGACCCTCTGGTCCCATCGCACACACCCAACTCCTTTGGTTCAGTCTGCCCCTCTGGTCTCTTTGCACAAGGTGTCTAGTTCCATCGCGCACACCCGGCGTGTTTTTTGGTTCCGGTGCACACACCCAACACCTTTGGTTCCGTCACGCACACCTGGCACGTTTTCATGGCTCAGTCGCGCACACTCGACGCCTCTGGTTCACATTGCTCCTCCGGCTCCTTCGCACATGATGTCTTGTTCCATCGCACACACCCGAAGCAGTTTTGGTTCACACACGACTGCTGCTTCATCCCGGGTTTCCAGCAACGACACCTCTGTTTACTCATAATATTAATTTTTTTGAAAGAAAAGTGTGAAGTTGTATTGATGTAGGGTGCAAAGAGAGCGCCACCCATATATAAAATTTACATCTCAATTAAAATATCTACAATGTCACCAAGATCTTAAAAATAGTCGAGGTTACACCCAAGTAAGTTAGAACCAAAGTGGTGAAACCAGTTATCCATGATTTTGTTGAAATCGGACTCGACTCCATCAAAAGCCATTTTGTTTCTTTCCTTCCAAATGACCCAAAAAATGATGAGGGGAATGAGTCTAATGGATTTATTGTTGCTGCCAAGACCCTCCCAGGCCATTAATTCAGCACAAACGTTGCCAGCCATAATCCAAGAAGTTCCCAACAGTCCAAGAATCATACTGCAAAGTTTATGGGCGATTGGGCAACTCAAAAGAAGATGGTTGCAAGATTCCAAAGCATTTTTACACAGGAAACATCTGTTGGCAGTTGTGTGACCTCTTTTCATCAAGTTGTCCAAGATAAGGATCTTCTCCTTTGCTGCCTCTCATGCAAAGAAAGAAATTCTTGGGGTAGCGCCAGAATTCCAGATGATTTTGGAAGGAAAGGTTCTTGGACTATGCTGATGGTGACCATCTAAAAAACAGAACAGTGAGTTGACAGAAAAGAGACTGTTTTTCTAGATATTTCAAAATAATTTGTCATCTCTGTTAGTGAGATTGATACTGGCCAAGGTAGAAAGTATAGATTCGTATTGTTCAAGCTACCAATCATTAAGATTCCTCGTCACTGGGACATTCCATGAAATGCTGTCATCAAAACCAGCAACTTCCCTTACAGTAATAGTTTTATTCGTAGCAATGGCATAGATAAGAGGGAATCTGTCCATGAGTTTTTCAGTAGCACACCATGTGTCTTCCCAAAAGCGAATTTTTATCCCGTTACCAATGGACTATTTAGAGCAACCCAACACTACACCATACATGTTTATAATATTCCTCCAGAGACTCAAATCATAATTTCTGTTCTTAATGTATGAAAGATCAAGGGGATTGTCATTATACCACTTGCAATTGACAACCGTCTTCCAAAGGTTGTCACTGTTGTTCCAATATCTCCAGATCCATTTATCAAGCAAAGCCTTATTAAGTTTGTTTAAGGATCTCGGCCGCAACCCATCCATCCTCAAAGGTTTCTTGACATCCAACCATTTAACAAGGTGATATTTTTTCCTATTATCAGTATCGTCTCATAGGAAGTTGTTTTGGATGGCTTCCAATTTTTTGGCTATTTTGGAAGGAATTTTTTCCTGTTTACTCAGAATATTAGTAGTTGTTTCATCTCGAATCAATTAAAAGATACAAAACTAGATTAGTAACTAAGGGATTTACTGAGACCTATGGAGTTGACTATCAGAAAATCTTTGCACCTGTAGCAAAAATAAATACAATTAAAATATTATTATTCTGTGCTGCTAATCTTGATTGAGACTTGCACCAGTTTTATGTGAAAAATATCTTCCTACATGGGAACTTAGAGGAAGAGGTATACATGAATATTTTACTTGAATTTGAAGATGAAGGAACACAGGGAAAGGTTTGCAAATTAAAGAACGTATTATATGAATTAAAGTAGTCTCCAAGAGCATGATTTGAAAGGTTTAGAGGAGTTATGATTTCCTTCGGATATCAGCAAAACAATGTTGATCATACCCTATTCATCAAGTATTGTGAGGGTAAGATCATTCTTCTCATTATTTATGTTGATGATATTGTGGTGATTGAAGATGGTACAGGAGAGATTACTCGACTAAAAAAACTTCTTACTCGAAAATTTGAATCAAAGATTTAGAAAAATTGCAGTACTTTTTGTGAATTGAGATTGTCAGGTCTAATAAATGAATTTTTATTTTTCAAAAAAAGTATATTCTACATTTACTAGAAGAGACTGGAATGATGGGTTACAAGCCAACAGAATCTCCTATTGAAAGTAATCACAAACTTCAAGATGTTAGTGATACATCAGTTGACATGGGAATATATCAGAGATTAGTTAGAAAACTTATTTATATCTTACATACCATACCAGATATAGCATATACAGTTAGCCTTGTGAGTCAATACACGCATGACTCTCGTGAGACTCATTTACATGCCGTCTTTCAAACGTTATGATATCTGAAATCTACACCAGGAAAATGTTTATTTTTCTCCAAAAATGGTCATTTAAGATAGAAGCATTCATAGATATTGATTGAGCTGGATCTCCATATGATAAGAAGTCAACTTCCGATTATTGCACACTCGTTGGAGACAACTTGGTTACATGAAAAAACAAAAAGCAGAGTGTACTTACCTGTTCTAGTGCTGAAGCAAAATATATAACAATGGTTCAAGAGGTAAGTGAATTATTATGGTTGAAAAAACTAATGAAGAAATTAATATTATTTAAAAAATGAAACTTATCATTATTTTGTGACAAGAAAGCAGTCATTAGTATTGCTCAAAATCCAGTTCAACATGATCGGACGAAACACATCAAAATTGACCGTCATTTCATAAAAGAGAAAGTGGTTAATGGTTTTTTATATTTATATCATGTGTTTTCTAACAATCAGGTTGCAAATATTTTCACTAAAGAGTTTTACAACAAAACTCTTCAAAACTTGATATGCAAGTTGGGTATGTGTGATCTCTTTGAACTAACTTGAGGGGGAGTGTTGAGATGAATATTTTGTTTACTAAATATTTGTGATATTTTTCCTATATACTTCTTACCATTAATTTCTCCTATAACGTTATAATTATTTAGTATCCCTACTATAAAAGTAATTTCCCTATTAGTACTTGTAAATTTTGTATATATATGAGTTGTCTATTATATCAAACATATTGAGAAAATAAAGTAAATATTTATCCCAGGAATTTCTACATCTTAAATCCTGTATTATTTTAAATTATTTAATTTTTTCCAGTTATCCAAATTGATTAAAATTTTCATAAAACTCATAGTTTAAAATAAGACCACATAAAGGATAAGTTATAAATAGTAGAATATGATTAGGCTCAATACTCATCGAACTCATCCTTTAAAAGAAATTATTATGTAAAAAAAAAATTTTAATGAAAAAAAAGTCATGTAGCCTATGCCAAACTCATAAGCTACTAAGCTTTAACTTATCCTAGATAGTTCAATCATAGTTATCAACGCATGAAATCGTGCGACATTCTCATTCAAGCACATTGTCAAGCATTTTTGTCCGCATAGAATCGTATGGGGAGGCCAATTGTTGGAGTGATGAAGGATTCCTTTTGGTCTATAGCCAGTGATTAGTGACCGAGGGATTATTTAGTTAGGTGGGTGGCTTGTTGTCAATCAAGAAAGAACCAAGGCCCCAAGTCTAGGGAATCCAGTGCCTTAAACACTCACTAACACAAGAGATGCCACGATTTGGAGTACCGCGAAATAAATCTTTACTAAGTTACCATTTCATCTAACTACAACCACATACATGAAAGAAATTAAAGCCAACTTCCAGATAGAAATAAATCCTAAACATTGCTATTGGTGAACATAAACAAAAGAAAGTTATTAACAAAAAAATAGAAAGAAATTGCTGGAAGAAAATAAGCATACCATTGTTGCAAAGCGTCAAATAGCAATGATAATAGGGCAACATGAAAACAAGGAGTAATATCAGACAGAACAAATCGACCTTCCAATTTATCATTCTTGCCCTACAATCACAAGAAAACAAAATCATATATTAATTACGAAGTTAAAATGATTTAGTTATAACTATCTGATAGGCTTTTGATAAATTTTGGGAAGAAAGACCTATAACTACATTATGATTATGCTACATCTTGCAAAGATAGTTACTCCAAAGTAACTCCAAGTAATTCAACACAAACTCACCACTGACACTCAAATGGTCAAACAAAAATGGCAGTTGCAACTTAAATCACTTCATCACCTTGTCTACAAAATGATTATAGCAAAGAACCCAACGAAATGGCAATTTTTTTACAAATATAAAATTTCAACAATTAAAATAAAAATGTCCATGTTCAAATGCATATCAAAAGCCCAAACTATAAGTTTTTGAATGAAAAAATAATTACTTTTAACAATGCACTAGAAAATTTGTATCCAGCAAACCAAAGTAGCTACCTTTTTGTTTCATTTTTTGTAGACTGAAAAAAAAAATTCTGTTTCAAAAAGGAAGAATGAAGAATGATACAAGGAAAGGAGAACTTCTTGAAGTCCCCATGAGCCTTACCCCAAAGAGAAGCCGAAAAAGAGAACCTATCTCAAAATAAACATATGTGGGTGGGGGAAGCACCACTTGCATCTCTTTTCCCATTATCTTTTTAAATTATCCACCAGACACAATTCTCCAATACAATCATGCTTGTCCTATCATGACAACCATATTTCTTGAAACCTTTACCTTTTTAGAAATCTTAATAACTAAGAAGCTCTTGATTTAGTATCCTTGACCTCTTTATCTAAACCTTCTCGTCCTTTGTCTAATCCTAATTAGAATTTGATCCATCAATTCTTCAAAGGCCTATATTCATAAATCTCTTTGATCACCATAGTATAGCCATATTTTATAATAATCTTATTCCTCAATCCTCTTTTGAAAATGAAAAATGAAAATTCCCTCTAGATTGAGAGTTTTTAGGGGTGCAAAGGATCCTGAATAGAATTACTACCAATTACTTGCTTTAAGTTCGCAAACCCCACATTCCTCTTTCTGTTGATGTGTGCTTCCTGTGCTTCTGTAGTTCTAAATATAACAATCACTTTTTTCTGCACTGTGAGGCAGCTGGGTACGTTTAGACTAGGAGGCTTGGCTGGATCTATGCTCCCAATCTCAGAGATTTTGATTTCTACTTGTTTGAGTCATTTTGGGAGAAAGAACACTCTACATGTTGGAGATGGGCTATCTTTTCTGGTCCTTAAATGCTTTGATGGAAAAGGAACACTTTGGTCCTTAATCAACGTTCTTATCATGTGAACAAAATTTTATACAGGATTGTATAGTTAGTGACTCTTTCGGCTAAGCACGTGGTTCTGTAGGGGGTTCCTCTCTCTACACTTATGAAGAATAGATTGCTACGTTATGCATCTTCTGGTTGATACAAAATACTAGATTTTTAAAGTAGCACTACTTTCCTCCAATTCTTTTAACATTAACTTAACTGTTTTTTGCTTCTTTACGAGCTAAGGCTGTTTTTGAGATGTTCCTTTTTGCCTTTGTTACAAAGGAATTGGAAAGCTGTTAGAAAGGACTTGGGGAGCTATTTTGTCTGATTATTTCCACTTTTTTTTTTTCCTTCGGTTAATTTTGGAGGTTGTGAAGATGTCTCATCCTAGTCACTTCTGCTTTCTTCATTTCTCTCTTCATTAATAATATTTCTTTTTTCACTTTAAATAAGAAGGATTGAATTGTGATTACTAACACCTTTTTTGTTTGTTTTCTTTGTTATTAATTGTTTTGTGGAGGATAGCTTACCCTCTAAGTTGTATTTGCCATTTCTTCATCTAATATTTACAAACAATTATTATCTTCAAATTTCTCATATTCTGTCAGCAATAAAAAATGAACAAAATAGGAGTATTCAGATTATCTGTTGTCATTTTTTCCTTTTGCTTCGTAACTTTCTTTGAGGACAAGCAAAATAGAACCGAATATATTTGTATAGTGAGAATAAATATTCTGAAATAACCACTGGTTTCTTGAAAAAGCTCAGTGATTGCATAAAAACAATCAAGGGCTAAATATCCAATCTCCAAGCTCCCCTAGATCTCATTAACCAAACTGGAAGAATTTACTTTGGATATTCATATTTGTGCCAAAACCATCACATATTCTAAAACTCATATAAACCATTTGCATTTTCTCAGAAACTCAACAATATAACCGTAAAGTTGGAAGTTGAAGTATATTTTGGATACAGCCTAAGGACAAGAACAACTAGACTAACCTCAGAAAACAAATTGAAAAAGAAAAATAAAACGAACTTTCTTCGGGCAGCCAAATAAAGTAAACGGCCATAAACAAACATTTATCAACATGACTCCACGGGCAGAAGATTTAAGTTTAACATTTGTTCCAACGCCAAACCGGTAAACAACATGCTCACTTTCCTCCATTTTCTCACATTTTCTCAGATATCAACCAATTACTAACCGTACACATGCAAATATACACACATAAAGCCTCAAGAAATGTAGTGCAGAGAGCGATTTGAGTGTAGATGAGGAGGGAGGCTTACTCTCTAGATAGAACAGGGATGATCTCGAAGAGAACAAGCTGGAGGAGATTGCAAGAGAAGGCGAAGACAACACTGAAAATGATCTGAACCAATACTCGCTTCTCTTCGTACTCCTTGTACAGCCTTCTGTTCAAGAACCAAAGCCCCGTCCATCCTAACAGACACAGTGATCCAAGCACCACAAATCCTTCGTAGATCGCCCATGCCCACCCCATCCCTCTCTTCTAATCTTTCTTCTCAAATATCCTGTTCAGTCAGGCAAAGCAAATTCGCGGATTATGCAATTTTTGAGTTTTTGATTGGGCAAATTACAGATTTAAAGATTACTCGGGAAACTTTTCAGGCTCAAAATCACTTTTCTGTTTCTATTAGTTTTCAGCTCTCAACTACAAATCCACAAAGACCAACGCCAAGTCCCAACACCTCTCTCTAGCTCTCGCGGGATCAAAACCCAAATAGTAAAGATAAATAAACTTATTTTATTCTATTAACCTCCGGGGTTATTATGCCGTTCATACTAAAAATTTAAAAATTAAAAATAATTTATATTATGTTAAATTTTAAAAAAATTATTATTTTCTATTAAAATTAAAATTAATTAATTATCTTTTATTGAAAATAATATTTAATTTTTGTCTTTCAATTTATTAAAAATAATAAAAATAATATTTTTTATCATTAAAATGTTCAAAATGAATTTCTTCCCATCTAATTTTTTTTTTAAAAAAAATATTTGCTCTAATTTAGTTAGATTTGGCTCGATCTAAATTTTTATTTAATTTGTTTACTTTTATATCTATTTTAAATTTTATATTCAAATTCTAATTATTTTAAGTGAACATATATTTTATGAACAAAAATTTAAATAGGCATGCAAATTGTATAATCTATACGTAGAATGTGTGATGTTACATAACTAATATTTAGTTTACAATATCATAATATATTATCGATTTAAAATACATCTGAGTCAGCTTAACTTTTTAATTTATAATTTCATGTACTAATGACATAATATATGAGAATACATTTGAATCGAACATATTGATTCAGTTTAATTTTTTATATCAAAATAAATAACGAGCAATCTTATATAATATCATTTAATTTTTATAAAAAGATAAATTAAACTAATCAATAATTTTTAACTCTGACGATTGTTACTATTTTTCTCTATATTATTAGAATAGTTAATTTAGACTCTTTCTAATGTGTAAATTTATTGTATATTTATTGAATTGAAGAAAAGATATCAAATATAAAAATAAAACTATGAATAATAAGAGTGTTTAATAAATCATATATACATTATCATAAAAATATTATATATTTTATTTACATTGATTTATTTTTTTAATTATTCAAAAAATTTAAGAAAGAGTAAGCTAATGATGTTAAAATAATTGATATGCATATTAATTATTATATATAAATATATAAATCTTAAAATTTTAACACTAAATTTGTGTAAAGTTACACGTGCGACAAAGAGTGAAGGAAGAAAGAGGGGCCGTGGGCCGTATACCCTCTGGCTCATATTTATCCGTGGCGGCATTTATAATAATAATAAATAAATAAATAAAAAGAAAACGAAAATAGAAAAAATAATATTTATATGTAAAATGTTTTAATTAAATAATACACAATAGATGCATTAAATATTTAATAACTTATTAATTACATTTTAAATTTCCATATATATGAAAATTTAACAAAAAATTAAGAAATAAATTTATAAATATTTTTAGATAGGAACAAATTTAACAATAATAACACGTGTATTATGATAATATAATCATTTTTATTGTAAGGTTAATGGCTTGAATATGAATTTTGTTTCCTAAGATTAGAAATTTAATGTGGTAGATATTTCAAACAGAGTTTGAGCCTAAAAATTCATTACATATTATTGTCCCCCTTAATTCATATTAATATTGTACATACCATGTAGTTATGAGCATTTATTAATTGCATTCTTCATTAGATAATGTACTAGCATTAAATGGCAACAACAAAAATCTAAGAAAAGGAAGGAAATAAAGCGTCCTTGAATGTCTTCTATTGGATTTCAATATATACATATATATATATGAGAGAGAGAGAGAGAGAGAGAGAGAGAGAGAGAGAGGAGAGAATTTCCATATATATAGAAATATGTATGTTATATGCTGCATATATACATATTTGTATATTTGTCATTCCATTAGAATGTTACTTATTATCTTTTTCTTTATATGCATTATTTTCTACATAAAACTTAAATATTGTATCAAATCGGAATTCATAATTGCTATGAGGTTTTCTTCTCTCTGTGAGTTTTCCATCTCCCTATAGGAGCCATCCATCCTTGTTTCTCCTTGTATAATCCATTATGTGTATGGATGTATGTTATTTCAAGTCATACATACATTATAATGCTGTAGTCACAACTCTTCAAAAGTAATGGAAACAACAAAACTAATTATGGGAAATTATACATGCTAACATGATGATTAAATCCAGTAACAGTGCAAATGGGCGAGTTGTTAACAATTAGGTAGTATTTACATATGAATACTAACACAACCGATAATACTACATACTTTTTTTTTACGAGAACACATGAAATACACAATTCGGACAATAACTCGTAATCTCGTAAAGAATGGTAAAAATACCAACTATTCAATCGAGAAACAATAACAAAAATGGATTAAGATTGATGGAATCATATGAAAAGCCAGAATATTTAAGTACTAAAATGTATTTTATAACACTCATTTACTATGGAGAAGCAATCATCAATGCCACAAGAAAAAATTCTTGCTCTTCCATTCAATATAACCACAATGTACCGGATCCCTCGATACTTACTAGAGTACATTTTATTTCATACCTAAGTCGGACTAACAAATCTGGTGCTACACATACAGGGAAGCAGAAAATAACAGATTCATGCAGTGAAAATAAAAGACAACAAACTCTTCAACCCCAACACCAAAATGCCACAATTCATCTTTCTTCGGATGTTCAGCTCTGACATTATTCGCCTAAGCACTATGCTCTCAATTATCTGCAACAAAATTTCAATTTATTCAGATAAAAATGGAGAGTTTAGAGGGGTACCATCTTATTTCGGAACTCACCATGTGGAGATTGAGAACTTGTAGCAGAGAAATCAGATGAAGCCATTGGAATAGATATTGAAAGCTGGGTTGTGGAAAAGGAAGTCTGATTGGATCTTTCATCTTCAAGACCAGACCAAGAATCCCGGGTTTTAGGCCACTCATCAAAGAAAGGTCTAAGAGACTGACCTTCCTGTTTCACAGGCTCTCCTGAGGCAAATTCACTGTTGAAAAATGAATGCTGAGGATAATCATTCTGCAAAATGGTGGTATCACCCGATTTAGAGGTAGGGAATGAGGAAACTCTGGATTGCATCAGTGGCCACGAGTTATCCAGTGGAGAGTCCATCTGAAGACCACGGTTGCTTCCTGAAGCTTCTGAGAAGAAACTATGCTCACCAACATCCGGTTTAAGTCCTTGAAGATACCTGTGCATTTGGAGGAAGAGAGAAAAACATTATCCCTTCAGTTGAACTTATGAAAAGGCAAAAGGAAATGATTCCAAACCACAAAAGATAAAAAGGAACTGGTTCTCCATAAACAAAGAGAATGGGAAGAGAACAAATAGTGCCATATGAGGTAGTTGCCACTGACTGCTACCCTGTTATGTAATCTGCAAGGTACTTGGTGATCAGAAACAAATCACCAGAAGAAATTCTTCGTCGAAAAAATCACCATATTTCTATACACTTCTAATAATAATCATTAAATATTGACATTAACATGTTTTCTGCATTTACTGAAAGAAAATCCAGCTTGTGTCTTCTTAATGGAACACTTGGTAATAATTTTTTGAGAAGAACTCCCTATGATATTTCAGAACATAGTCTCCAACTTCAGAAGCATTTAGATAGGGATAATGATCGGTGTTAATCCGTACAATTAATTCATTGATCAAGTATATTTTTTTCGAGGTTCAGCTGCTTAAGAAGATTTCATATATATAATTTGCATCTCACTCAACAAAAGAAACAGCAATTAGGAACATGACTTAGTTGTTTCCTTCTCTCCTTTTATGGAAAAATTCTTACCAAGTCAAAAGCTAGACAGGCAATCTCTTTCAAATATATAGAAAGAGCTGATAACAAATAAAGACACTCAGCGGCTGTAGTCCAAAAATTGTCAGAGAGTGAAATCAAGAAAGGAAGACAGTAGATGCCAGAAACTCTAAAAATGCATGAAATTCTCATTTCTTCCAAGATATCATCATACAGACAGGGACACTAATGGGAAAAAGTGCTTTGAAAAGACTACTTGCAGCCTACCATTCCTCTTTCTTTTTGGCACTCTTCACTTTAAAATACGGAAGAAGTCGCTCCTTGACATCCAACTTAAAACAAAATTTTCTACATTCCAAGTCAAAGAGAAATCTTCCAAGCATATAGCATAAAGTAAAAAAGAAAATACATGTCTAATGTCAAGAAAGTAAAATATACAAAGTTTTCCGTCTCACAATCATAAGCAGGAATAGTAACATAAGAAAATGAAAACAAAAAGCTTGCGCGACTGCAGACAACCAGGTGTTGGTAGCTGACCAGTTTGGTAAAATGACAACTAAAATTTTAATAACAGAACATGAAAGACATAAAACATGGCAAGATCAAAGTGTTCCACTGTGCTCAACTATCTTTAATACATAGATTGTCTCCCACGTTTCAATCCTTTCGTTGGAAGTTTAAGGCAATTAATCTTTTTAACGTAGTTTTTCTGTCACAGAAAAGGACACCTAACCTTATCTTTTCCTTTTGACAGAAACTAATATGGTCTATATAATGCTAATAATTCTGAATGTTTGTCAGATTTCTGCGACAGATTTAACAGAAAGAAACAGAAAGGCAAAACAGACTGAGAAAAAGAAGACTGAAGGAAAAGAGAACACACTGTCAAAATAATGGATTTAGACAGCTATCTCATGGACATTAGGGCCCAGAACCCTGAGCCCTGCAGAAAATTAAAAAAGTCATGCAACTTGTCCACTAACTGATGGGAGGAGCCTCCCATATGATTCCTACCGTACATTTTCCATCAATGGGCCCAGAAAAAGAAACTAGATGGGATCTACCAGAAAATTTATGGACTAAATCATTGTATAACTCATTTCCTAAAATAAACAGTTAGAGAGTTGCAAAGAAATTAAAAGCAAAATCACCTAACATGAAAATGAACAATCAGCTGATTCAGCTCTGACCATTAAAACAAAGAGATTTTTTTTCAATCTATAAGAGCAGCCTATAGTTCGCACAACAGAAGTGGGAAAAAAAAAAGATCCCCACCTGTACAACTATATTCACTATTCATAACAAACAAAATTCAAGTAGAGTTGTAAAAACTACAACCGCCATTTCTTCATTAAAATAATGGATAGAAAATTTCACACAACTAGCAGATCCGATATTTTCCATATTCCAACCAATTGAAGAAGATTCATTTCCATCTAAAAGCATCTTCAGAAATTTTTTTCATGATTGCCAGACTCTGACATATTAACAAATTTCATTCCGAAGAAAACATTAATAGAGACAAGAAAAACAGAATAAGATTGTCAGACAAGAACCAGATTGTGTCACAGCATTTAAAGAATCAAAAAACCCCATGCAAAAACAACAGGGCCCAGAAACAAGAGCCTAACAGAAATTAGAGAAGTTTCTACAAGATTTCCATGATCTAGAGGAGCACATAATCTTGCTTCAGTAACTCGCTTCAATTGCCATGGGGCCAACAAACATTAGATCTTGCAACAAGTACAACAGCAAAAATAGCAAAATTTCATGTCCAATATCATATGCTGAACAATCCATCAAAAAAAGAAAAAAGAAACAAACAAAACTTAACAAGATGTGGATAATTCAAACGAAAATGTAATACCTCAAAAGAATTCATTGATATTTTCTCTTTGGAGATACAAAATAGAAATAACTACTATTTCAAGGATCGAAGTTTTTATTCATCCATGCAAGTGCAAAGCAACCAAACGGAACAGAAAGTAATTGTAAAACTTTAATACCTATAATCTTTGCTTGGAATTCCAAAGGGAATGGATTCCACGTTATAAAGGGACTGGTTATTGACAGACCAGTGACTTGAGTATTGCCAAAGGCATGCAATGAAGTTCTGGAAAGTTCCAGTCCACCGCTGCTTGCCTTGACAGTCATGATGACACAGTGGAAGATGACTGTGTCATAGTTTGTGATTCCACAGGCTTTCTTGAACGGTTGCGGCCACGGTGCATGTGGCGCTCACAATACTCTGAGTCAGGATATGCATCTTTGGAGCACCGCCATTTCTTACCATCAGTCTCTGCATCGTCCAGGCTCTGGATCCACCTTTTTCCCGTAGAAGGAACAATAACCCACTGCAACATTATACTCAATATTATATCAAGAACCATAAGATAATTCATAGAAACATAGAGGAAATTATTCTACTGTTCAAAGAACTATATCATCATCAACAAAGATTATGATCATTGATTAATGCTATCAAATTATTATGGATAAATTATACTAAAAGTTACATCACACTTCATCATAAAGTCATTAACAATATCACATGGGTTTCTAAAAAAGCAGTAAAGAAGAGGATCAGCATCCACCAGCAGAAAACATCTTTATTTTGATATTAGATGACCACCAAACCAAAGGAGGAAGAATACTGACAGGGAGTCCTCGCAGCATTCAAAATGATCCCCATTGAAGCCAAAGTTCCTTATAAAATAATTAAACGGGAAAAATCTTTTGCAATTAATCCAAAAAGAAGGGGTTCACAAAAAGCCAAAAACAAAGGGTCCTATCTTCTGCTCTTGGAATGTAATTTTAAGGATCAAGCAAAGTAAAATCACAGGAGAAAAGAGGGTATGCCTCCAGGAAATCGAACAGTAAAAAAGCCATGAAAAATACTAAATCTACAGAAGAAAAAGTAAATATTGAAAAGACAAAAACCACACCAATAGTGAAACCCACAAGCTAATAACTGTTTGCTGCATATGAAAAATCTCTGTACAATCTGCTCTTATAACCAAATAGATTACAGTAACAGTAAGATTTTAGAAAAATGGAAAAGCGAAATGCGCTGCAAGAAAACCACGATTTCCTATTTGTCCAGAACAAAAGAAAATGAAAAGGGAAAGGTGAATAAGATTCCTCAACTCAAAATCAAACATACCCAGGTTATAAAAGGTAAAAACATATGAACAAAACCAGTAAATCTGAAGGGAAAAAAAAGAGAAGAGATGGAGACAGATTGCTCACAGTACCCTACCTACATACTATATATGATGTATAGAGAGATAAAGAGAAGGGTTTAAGAAGATGAAGAGAGAGAGAGAGAGCTTACTGGTGGGGTGGTGAAAGAACCTATGAGAAATAGACTCAAAGCTCTTCTGGATAGGGAGTACAAGATCAGGTGGCACAGGTAAACCTGCCATCATATACTTAAAGATCAGGGCTTGGTGTTCCAGTTCTTGCCACTGAGACACTGTAAACGGTGACCTCATTGCCATCATCCCTGTCCCGCCTCCACCACTACCACCACCATTTCCGCCGCCGCTATTCATCTCCGGCGAGCACCAGTAAGAGTATTAGACCCCTTTTGGTGTTTGAGAAATAGTACCCACCAGCAGCTGCTACTGTTTGCTACAAGTACTGTTTACAGTGTTTTGGTTTGTAGTCTACAGACAGAAGGTTAAACATGACTTTTTGAGACAGGGAAGACGATGGGACATAGATCAGCCTGTGTCTCAATCTCAAACATATTTGCTGTCTGTGTGTATGTATGTATGTATATAGGAGTATGTCACAGTCTCTATCTCATCTGTGTGTTAAGAAAAGGGGAGCAGGGTCTGCGAGGAGGAATCCTCAAAGGCCAAGTTTGGTCTCATTTTATTGGAGATGGTTTTCCCCTTTCTCTCTTCTTTTTCTTTTTCTTTTCATTTTTTTCCTATTAATTTCTTATCTTTTAATAATTAAATATTTTAAAAAATTATTATTAAAATATTATTTTCACTTAAAAAATTAATAAATTATCAAAACTTAACATTTTATCATATAACCTCAATAATTTATTAAAAATATATAATATATTAAATAAAATTTTAAATTTTATTACCAATTCTATCAATACATTAATTATTTAAATTATTTTTTACATCAAATTAAATATTATAAAATAATCATCATGTATTAATAATATATTTATAAAATAATAAATTTTTTATTAATTTCACGATATTTAATTCAATAATTACTTTTTTTTTATTAATTAAACATTACTCATATCCAAACTTTAGGCTTAAATTTAAAATCTAAGATGTGTGTGTTCTCGTTAATAAGTTATTTATTGATAAAATTATGTTATTATTGATGCATAGTAAGTAATTAATAAATTATATATTTAAAAAAAAAAATAAGTGACCTTTTTTTCCCTGTAAATTAGGAAAAAAAAAATAATGGTGGTTTTGTCAAGTTGAAGACTTGAAATGATGTGTGTGGTTTTCTTCAACCAGTCAAATGGAGGCAAGTGTAAATATGTTTTTATTGTAAGATAAATATATTTCTTTTTTTAGTAATAATTTAATTTTCTATTTAATTGGCAGAATGTAGGCTTTAATGAGTTTGGACCCACCAAGCTTTAAGTGGTTGGCAAGACTAAAGCAAATAATTATCCTTTTTTAAAAAGAAAATGATTGAAAATATCCAAATAAATGTACAAAAAAATGAGTCAATAATGGCTTCATTTAGGATGTGTTTTGCATAAATAAAATTTCTGAAAATTATTAATTAATTTGTATATTTAGTGCTCCTTTAAATATCATCAATCATATTTAGCTTTAAATTAAATTTAAAATAAAATAAAAACTAATTTCTTTTAAATTTTAAAATTAATAAAAGTTTAAAATAAAATAATAAATTTTATTAGTCTTTAATAATTTAATAACCTCTCATCTTTTTTGTAATACCCGAGTACTGAATTTGGTCTGCAATTAATTTTAAAGTTTAAAAATAAAGTGTGAAAATATAATTTTTAAATTTATAAATTTTTATTTAATATAAAATTATAAAAATAAATAAATTGAGAGTGAAATTAAAAATAATTTTTTAAAAAATAGATAAAAATTTGAAATCTTAAGATGTTTTCGAAAGAAAAATCAGAAACTGATAATCAAAATGCAATTAAAAAAATTATGTTATGTTTGACCACTCAGTCAGCAATCCTAACAAATCGGAGCGCACCGCGTGACTCGATGCCACGCGGGAGGCCACGCTAGCAATTCATGAGCCCCCAATCGGACGGTCTGGATGCGTTCCCGCGCGCGTGAACGATCCGGATCCATTCCCTCCTCAGGCGCGATCGGACGGTCGTGATTAAACGAGATGAACAGTTCAGATTCATTCCTTATTTAATGCGATCATACGATCAATATCAAATTACAATGAACGGTTCATATTCATTTTCTCTTTAAACGCGATCGGATGGTCGAGATCAAATGCGATGAACAGCCCAAATTTAAGGAAGACGGGTATAAATATCTCGCATCACACCGAACCCAAACCCTAATTGCCAGCCTTCTGTCGGAGAAGAAGAACCAGTAGCTAGAGAAGGGAGTCGATTGTCGCCTGTCGTCGTGCCGGAGCCACCTTCGACCGTCAAAAAAGGTAAAAATTCTTCTATTCTCTCGGAATTTGATTTCGAACACCCATGGCAAAATTGACGCAAAAGGAACAACGAATGAGCTTGAAGTCGTCTCTGATGAGCCCCTTCTTATTTTTCATTTCGTGTCATTTTTTTACCACTATGTTCATCATTTTGTTTTCTACATGTTGACCGAAGAAAAATGTCTAGCTGCATAGGTGAGCTGGCAGAGCCGCCGCACCGAAAAATTCCGTCGTTGGTAGGTTTTTTTGTTTTTCGACTTTTTCGGCCAACCAAAGCCCCTTAACCTATTTTATCGCAGGGATGAGTATAAAACCGGCCGAACATGACCAAGCCGAGGTAAAGCACCGCCGCGAGCGATGGTGCCTTCGCTGGAGCACGGCTGTGCCACTGTGCTAGAATTTTGAAATTGGTCAGAAAAAGTTTTTAACATCGATTATGGGTTTTTTTTGAGTATTTTTAGGTACGTGAAACGTGTTTTAATATCCGCATAAAAATTCAGGAAACTTGGGGACCGCTAGTAGACGCAATAAAAAGTTCAGTATTTTAGACACCGATTCGGATAAGAATCTCTCACCTTATTCCATATCATGGAATTTAAGCTTAATAATTAGTAATAAGGTATTTTGTATAATTTAGAAAACTTTGAGAATAATTACAGATTACCAATAGAGCCAGAAACCGGTTAGTCATTTATTTGTTGTTCTGTTTAACTGATGGTTGAATTTACAGCTTTAAATATATGATGATATTCTGGAATGGTTAATTGATTCAATTGTACTTCATTGATATATATATATGTATATATATTACTTGTCTTGTGTAATTTATGGTTGATTGTGAAATTGATAATTAATATACAAACAGAAAATTGATTGGTCATGTGAATTAATGAATGGTAGCCTTACTGGATATCCTAGGAGATGGTAGATGAACCGGGTACATAGGGAACTTTACCATGAACATTGCCTCATATCAGACAAAGTATCGAGAATTGGTATTTTTTACACTCATACTGGACAGGGTATGAGGATGACTCGATTTACCCTCATATTGGACGGAGTATTGAGGGATGATATTTTTGGCGCTCATACCAAACAAAGTGTGAGGACGACCGGTTAGTAGACAATGTTAAATATTGGTTCACGCATAGTGGGACATCCCTATGAGCCCATAGGGATATTAGTAAGCAAATAAAAATATAAAGTTATTGTTATAAAAATGAAAAGTTATTGTTCTTACTCACTTGAATATGAGATTTGAATGTTATTTGGGTTATTGTATCTATAGGTCGATTTTAGAAATCTCGCAACGATAAATATATGCAATAAATGGTTTTCTTTATGATAAATGAATTTATTTAAATCAAGAATTCTATTTGTTGTTTTTATGATTTTTACTAATTTTCAGTTTCTATATCAGTGAGCAGTGTGATATTCTTACAGAGTTAGTGTAGCTTACCATTTTATTAATTATTTCAGATCAAGAGGATCAAGACTCAAATCTCGATCAACAAAAGGGTTGTGAATAGTTCACTACCCGGACTCCCTTCAAAAGGTAGTGAATGTCTGTAACAGCCCCGGAAATTTAAAATGAAATGTGTATTAAAAATATCAAATGCGGAAGCGAAGTCAAAAATTCGATTAACATCCCTTACACTAAAACCAAAAACGTGCTCACAAAATATAAAAGATCAAACTACCTAAAGGAGAAACTTGAAAGTAAAAGCTACGAATATGACTATGGAGTCTTTAGGCGTCCCCTTCGTCGTCCTCCTGCGGAACCGGCTCGGGAACAATGTCTTTCTGATCTGAAATGATTAAATAAGGAATGAGCTACACTAGCCCAGTAAAGACATCACGATATCTCACCGTCACGGAGGTAAAGGTGGGTAGAAAATACAAAAAGACCAATTGAGCATAATTTACAACAAATTCTTTTATCAATAATAAATTCTTCACCATCCACTTACCTCGGTGAAATTCATAAAACAGTATACGAAAGCAATAACATTATCATCATCATGAAATCATATATAAACTGTATAACATAATACTTATCAAGCCTTTTATAATTCAATCATTACACAACATATTTTTCTCATTTACCAGCCCACTAGTATCCATGGGGATCCATAGGGGTCCCGCTACCCGTTAACCCTTAACACTTGAAATCAGATTCCAGGGCCGTCCCCATACCCCATCCGGTATGAGCGCCAAAACTATAAACCTCATTACCCCGTCTGGTATGAGGGTGAAACGGGCCGTCCCCATACCCCGTCCGGTATGAGCGCCAAAACACATAAGATCTCCATACCCCATCCGGTATGGGAGACCACAATCCCGGTAGGGTTCCCTACGGACCCGGTCCGTCCACCATCTCCCGGGATATCTAGTCAGGCTGACCCCATTATACAATTACCCATTTACATAATCTTTCATTCTCTTTTTCCTCAGTCGGCATTATTAATCCACATGCAAACAAGTAAAACGGTAATTTATGCCAAAAAGACAACATACAGCATCAATATTCCAGTCATTCAATTCATAATCAATAAAACAGTAAAACATACACACGAAACTATAAAATGAAAACATCAAACCTCATACTGCATTTAAAACTGTAAAGTAGGCCAAATAACAGTTAACCGACAAACAC